CAACCGAGCGACCAAATATCGCTGCTCTCATTCTGTGGCTCACCGCGGATGGTCTCCGGTGCCATCCAGTATACGGAGCCCACCACACCTTCCTCCATGTTTACAGCGACCACCGGTGGACCCAACTCCGCACCCTCCTCGCCACCACTGGGGTCGTCCCGCACAACATGACGCGGCATGGCAAGACCAAAGTCCGACAGCTTCACAACATCCCCAGCCCCAATGAGGACGTTGGCGCACTTGAGGTCACGATGCAGAAACTTCTTTTCATGAATATACGCAAGTCCAGCGGTAATTTGGAACATAAAACGCGCCACTTCCCGTTCGCTAAAACGACCATTCCGCTTCAGTTGCTGAAACAGAGAACCTCCCTGGGCGTACTCAGTGACGATAAGGAAAGCATTGCCAGAGCGGGCGTGATCAATGTAGCGGATAATGTACGGGTTCTCGAGAGAACTGATGATTGCAACCTCCTTACGCCACGTTGCCATCACCGTGTCATCCGAGGCCATAATTTTTTTAACAGCCACTACAAGCCCCGTACTCCGATCAATGGCGCTATACACCACCGCGTTGCCACCCTTGCCGATGAGGTCCTGCAGCTGGTAGGTGGAGTATCGTCCTTTCACAATATCGTTCACACGCATTTCTTGCATGTGTTAAAATATATGTATATAACTTCCTCGTGCTCCCTGTGGCTAATTTTTATCAAAGTGTTTTGTATATTTTGGTGATTGGACGTGCGTGACGACTCTTCCCACCCCCTCCCTTTTCTTTTCTCTTCTTTTCCTTTCTTTTTTCCTGTATTTGCACTCCCGCAATGGTTTCTGTGAGCAAGAACAATAATAAAACAAAGCAAAGCAAAAACAACAACAACAACAAACAGAACGCACGGATATGTGTGCCGGTGGCACTCCTCCCAAGCACACAGACAAGAAAAAAAAAGAGAACGACTTCCATCGACAACTCAAAAACAAAGAAGATGAGGCAGCCGCAGCGTCCCGCCGAAGCACGGGGGAAGCGTGGAAAACAACAACAGTGGCACCAACAGCAAAGAGAACATGTGACAGAAAAAGAAAGACGTGGAGGCGCACTGCACATCACGCGACACCCCTCAACCCTCCTTCTGTTCCCTTTTTTTTTTTTGGAAGGTCCATCCTCCTCCACACACACAAGAAAAAAAAAAAGGAAAGGTTGGTGCATACACACCTGTTAGGCAGCAATCTCGCTTCTAGGTCGCTGCCGCCCCGTCTTGGAGCGTGAGCGGAGTGCATCATGCAGCGGCTGGTGCCCTTTGATCACCTCCACGTCCTGCCCCGCCTCTGTAAGCATTTTTATGACGCCATTCAGCACGACGCTGTCAATACCAATGTCACATTCAAGTGCAAATTTGCTCACGCGATTCACCGTCTCCGCGTCACCGGCACGTGCGGCACGCTCCAATATTGGGAGCACCATTTCTACTTCCACTCGCAGTCCCACGTGTGATGTCACCCGTTGCAGGAACTCAATCGCCTCATCGATATTATCAGCAAGAACTGCCTGTCGGATAAGCACACGGAATGTAAAGGCATTTGGCATGACGCCGTTCTCCAACATGGCGTCGTAAATAGTGCGCTGCAGTGACGCCCCACGTCGCGACGAGAGTCCAACCAACAGACAGTTGTACGTGTTCGTGCGTGGCTGAATGCCCCAATCGGC